GGTGACTGTGTCGATGATGGCAGTGGTGACTGTGGTGATGATGGCAGTAGTGACTGTGGTGATGATGGCAGTGGTGACTGTGGTGATGATGGCTGTGGTGACTGTGGTGATGATGGCAGTGGTGACTGTGTCGATGATGGTAGTGGTGACTGTGTCGATGATGGCAGTGGTGACTGTGTCGATGATGACAGTGGTGACCGTGTCGATGATGGCTGTGGTGACTGTGTCGATGATGGCAGTGGTGACTGTGTCGATGATGGTAGTGGTGACTGTGGTGATGATGGCAGTGATGACTGTGGTGATGATGGCAGTGATGACTGTGGTGATGATGGCAGTGATGACTGTGGTGATGATGGCAGTGATGACTGTGGTGATGATGGCAGTAGTGACTGTGGTGATGATGGCAGTGGTGACTGTGGTGATGATGGCATTAGTGACTGTGGTGATGATGGCAGTGGTGACTGTGGTGATGATGGCAGTAGTGACTGTGGTGATGATGGCATAAGTGACTGTAGTGATGATGGCAGTGGTGACTGTGGTGATGATGGCATTAGTGACTGTGGTGATGATGGCATTAGTGACTGTGTCGATGATGGCAGTGATGACTGTGGTGATGATGGCAGTGGTGACTGTGGTGATGATGGCAGTGATGACTGTGGTGATGATGGCAGTGGTGACTGTGGTGATGATGGCAGTGGTGACTGTGGTGATGATGGCATTAGTGACTGTGGTGATAATGGCAGTGGTGACTGTGGTGATGATGGCAGTGGTGACTGTGGTGATGATGGCATTAGTGACTGTGGTGATGATGGCATTAGTGACTGTGGTGATGATGGCAGTGGTGACTGTGTCGATGATGGCATTAGTGACTGTGTCGATGATGGCAGTGGTGACTGTGTCGATGATGGCAGTGGTGACTGTGGTGATGATGGCAGTAGTGACTGTGGTGATGATGGCATTAGTGACTATGTCGATGATGGCAGTGGTGACTGTGGTGATGATGGCATTAGTGACTGTGTCGATGATGGCATTAGTGACTGTGGTGATGATGGCATTAGTGACTGTGATGATGATGGCAGTGGTGACTGTGGTGATGATGGTAGTGGTGACTGTGTCGATGATGGCAGTAGTGACTGTGTCGATGATGGCAGTGGTGACTGTGTCGATAATGGCAGTGGTGACTGTGTCGATGATGGCAGTGGTGACTGTGGTGATGATGGTAGTGGTGACTGTGTCGATGATGGCATTAGTGACTGTGGTGATGATGGCAGTAGTGACTGTGGTGATGATGGCAGTAGTGACTGTGGTGATGATGGCAGTAGTGACTGTGTCGATGATGGCATTAGTGACTGTGTCGATGATGGCATTAGTGACTGTGTCGATGATGGCATTAGTGACTGTGGTGATGATGGCAGTGGTGACTGTGGTGATGATGGCATTAGTGACTGTGGTGATGATGGCAGTGGTGACTGTGGTGATGATGGCAGTGGTGACTGTGGTGATGATGGCAGTGGTGACTGTGGTGATGATGGCAGTGGTGACTGTGGTGATGATGGCAGTGGTGACTGTGGTGATGATGGCAGTGGTGACTGTGGTGATGATGGCAGTGGTGACTGTGTGATGATGGCAAGTGGTGACTGTGGTGATGATGGATAAGTGGTGACTGTGGTGATGATGGCAAATTACCAAATATACTGTGTAATATTGATTATTTTACAAATAAAGTAAAGGACCTTCTTCCACGCCTTCAGGCGTATTGGGCATATAGGGCTAGACCTATATTTTATAGACCAGTCAGCATTTGGTGGGTGATGTGGCCAACATACTTCCCAGAACCATACCTGGTACTTACTCAAGACTGGGTCGACCAGGGAGACAAGGTCATTTGTTGTAAATGTCCGGCTCCGCCAGGACCTGAGCCCACGAACATCCGATCTGTAGGCGAGCGTCTAGCTGCTACACCTGGCCAGCTGCCTTTTTTTTTTTTTAATAGTGAAAAAATAATTGCATTTGTAATTGAGCTGGGAAAAAAATTAGTATAACACATTACAACTAGTACAAAATTGCTTGATTCCTCCCGCCCCTTTGAAACGTCTTTAAAACTTGCACATACACCCCCCCCCCCCCTTTTTCCCCCCACCCCCTCTTCCCCCACCCCTTTTCTCCCCCCACCCCCTCTTCTCCCACCCCCCCCCCCCCCACCCCCTCTCCACAGGTTGATAACCGGTAGTCTAGATAAAAGAAGAAGATAACATAACGTCACGCCCGAGTGATTATTTCTGATCCATTTTTTTAAATGTCTGCTCCTCTAGCAGTAACTTTTATGTGCATTTTATGCATAAAATGTAGGCTAAGTTTACTGATAAAGTAGGAGCCTACTTTTCCCAAATAATGTCTCCCTTTCATAGGGATAAAGGATATTATTAGCACAGAATATCTACCAGGTTGACAGCTAGGTCATATGTCAAGGGCATAGCTAAGTAATATTTAACCCAGTTGTGCTTGTTTTTTTTTTTTTTTACGGAAAAACCTATCTTTGCTTGTCTCATTTAATATGGCCTACCTGTAGTGGAGGTAGTAATGTGTCTTACTTGTAGAGAAAGTAATGGGATCTTCTTGTAGTAGAGGTAGTAATGTGGTTTACTTGTAGAGAGAGTAATGGGGAGTTCTTGTAGTGGAGATAGTAATGTGGTTTACTTGTAGAGAGAGTAATGGGGTCTTCTTGTAATGGAGTTAGTAATGCGTCTTACTTGTAGACAGAGTAATGGGGTCTACTTGTAGTGGAGATAGTAATTATGGTTTACTGGTAGAGCGAGTAATGGGGTCTACTTGTAGTGGAGATTGAAATATGGTTTACTTATAGTGAGAGTAATGGGATCTACTTGTAGTGGAGATTAAAATATGGTTTACTTATAGTGAGAGTAATGTGGTCTACCTGTAGTGGAGATTGAAATAGGGTCTACTAGTAGTGGAGATTGAAATAGGGTCTACTAGTAGTGGAGATAGAAATGGGGAGTAATGGAGTAATCTAATGGAGGTGGTAGTATGGTATACTTGCAGTGGGAATGATGACACACAAGAAGAAGATTCAGAAATGACAGGCTGTGTTGCATGGGAAAAGGGGATTGGGGGATGTGGGGATATCCAGAAGAAAATATGGATAAAGGAGTAAATGATAGCAGACAGGTAAAGAGACATCATGCCATGGAGTATCTTCTGTATCGACTTGATTGTAAGTACGCGAGACAGAAGGTTGTGGATACACATGACTACCAATGCCATACGGCATGGACTTTAAAGACAGAGCTGAGCGTCTGAAAACTACATTTAGTACATGCTATGGCAACAGCAGCCCTAGAGTCCCATGCTCTAGTTGTGGAAGACTTTTCTTAACGTGAGCAGGGTTTGCTAGTCACACTCGCCATCGCCATGGGCTGTGTCCCATGCCTGCTCATAGAGCAAACAACACTAACATCTAGAGTGACAGAAAGGTGCCACAGACACATGCGTTCATTTGTGTGCTGTGTTACACACAAGTTCCTATTTGTAGTCCCAGGACCACACAAACACACAAAGGGATTTGAAATATTAGGTTGATGTTTACTTTATGATAACACAGTGTGTCTGGTGGAATGAATATGTATGACTTCCATACATTTGTCCAGTGGTGTTCCTTGGGCTTATATATATGTGGCAGGTGTCAGAATACCTGTACTCTAAGTTCAGCTGCACTGCTCTGGGTCACAAGGCTGTGATAACCCGAGTACAATGATAAGCTGATAACTGTGTTGGTAACAAAATAGTCACTTGTTTATTTATAGCTATCTGATTTGGAAGACTTTTTATGTTTGAAAGTGTGTTGATTTAACTGGAGAAACTGGAAGTAATTTCACCCTTGTTTATACAGAAATACTTTGTTGATATAGAAATACATGACTGTATATTTATTTGTGTTGTTGAAGCAGTAATAACACACAGTCGTGCATTTCTTATCTGTAAAGTTCATAGCTCTTTCCTGCTTTGATGTCAAACATCAGTAATCTCCAAAATCCCTGGGAAGGGCCAATATTCTATGGGTGTTAGATGTTGGTTGATTTCACTTTTTATTTTCTCCATCATTCTCAGTGTTTCTTTTTTCTTCGTCATCGTTGTGAGATGTGCCTGATTGTTTGGGAACGGGGGTTCTTACTTCGCAATGAATGCCATTGATCAAGAAGCCAGGATTCATTCATGACAAGCAGAGTAGCGTTTGTTGCTTTTGTGCAGCAGCACCGGTATTCTGCCAGACGCTGTCTGTTGCAATAATCATGTCATGGTGTAGTCACTGACGGAATGCCGGCGACCCACGTTGGAGGTATACGACCCCTGCCTCGCCTTCCACAAAACCGCACCTTCCATCACCGTTTTTTCCAAGCCACCATGACTTTAGTATAAAAATAGTAATATACAGAAAGGTATTGTAATAATAAATCTACGTTACTCTCAAATAATATGTCGTCTCCTTATTTGTCTTTGAGGCTCAAGCTTTGTTCACTGCTATGTTTTGTATCTTACGCAGAAGTAGGATCTGTATTGTATTTGCCTCCTCCTGCATTTCAAACCAGTCAGTGTACTATCATAACATTGTTTCTGCTTCTCAGTGTCTAGTTGTAGGTGTTGATTACGAACTGATCCTTTACAACATTGATCTCCTCTTCTTCATTGGTAATTACACTATAAAAATGTCATCATTGTTCAAAATGTCAAAGCCTCCATCCATTTCTTTCCTTTCCAACCAATCTTTTTTTTTTTTTGGGGTGCTATTTTGTTTTAAAAACTATTGGGGATAACAGAAACTAATGGATAAGCTAGTGGCGGTTAATCAAAGTTTTGCTTGTAGTGTTAGTGTCCTTTTTTGTATGCATCATTGTGCAAATGAATTAAACAGTATATGTTTGTCTGCTTTTCAGATGACAGCAATATTCTCCCCTTTTGTGTCAGCAACATCGTATAAGTTAACAATGGATGTGGATTCTGTACAATCCTCCACGTCCGGTCTGTTCTGGGACTTCAAATTGAAACGGAAGAGGATTCAGGATATTTTAACTGAGTCAGGTCCCATGATGACAAGCCAGTTGATGTTTAATAAACCATCCGAATGTGATCAACAAAGTGACGTCAGCACTGGAAGTACAGACAGTGCGTATGTTTCAGACAGGACTTCAGACTTAGATACAGCACCTCCCGCAAAGAAAAAGTCCACACATGCTACAGAAGTCAAAAACGACACATGCTTTGAAACAGAAGAACCATTGACTGGGGAGACATCAGAACATTCATTGGAAGAGGAATCTTCCATTTCAGTGATGTGTTCCTCAGCACCTTCTTCTTTGTCATCATCCCCTTCATTTACCTCATCTCCACCCACCTCTGTCTCATCAATGAACTCACAATCACCTACTGCCTCAGATGATTCTAAGATCAGCTCCTTAAGGTCATCCCCACAAATGACATCCAAAGCTTCTCCATCTATGAATAATCCAGTAATCCTTAGCTGCCCGCCAGGCTACTTCATGCAGCTGTCCAATGGATTCACCGCTCATCCTAATGGTGGCCGCATGAACTACTTTCCAATGATGCCCTTTTCATCAGATGGTATGCTTCAGTCGTGCCCAACACCAATGTTCCTTGCCACAAGTGCCGAAGGCTACATTGTATCTCGAGCCAGCGATGTTTCTCTCTCCCACAGCCCGTCAATTATCACCTACCCAACTCTAGACGGAGTTAAAGGAGTCAGTGCTGAAGATGTTCTGAAGCTGAACAAACCCAAGATAGCCATCAACTGCGGTAACGGTTACACCACACTAAACACGCCAAGCCCCAAGTTCAAAGAACCAAAGAAGGAAGAAACTCGACTAGAGAAAGACAGTGAATTCATCTCTCACTACACAAACGGCCTGTTTGTTTACAGAGGCCATCTGGCTGAGAACCCACACAACTTGAAGCCTCGAACAAGTGACAGTGTGTCCTACTTAGACACGGTCAAAGCAGAAGACTCGGATGGTGAAGAGCCACTGGTGTGTGCCATCTGCAATGACAAGGCTACAGGACTACATTATGGCATCATCACTTGTGAGGGGTGAGTGGTATAGTTGTTTTTCAAAGATGTTGCTTGTTGTCATTGTATTAACATAATTATTCAAATAGGGAATAATTATTTTATAAAGGGAACCCTTTTTTTCCATATTTATTTATCCTAAAGTTGTTGACTGACAGAACGGTCAGTGACCATCATACTCAGTTGTCTTTAAAGGAAATAGCAAACTCCTCCTGTATCTTTTACTTCTTCCTTCTTCTACCACTACTACTGCTGCTGCTGCTGGTGCTACTATTAGTACTACTACTGCTGCTACCAGTACTTCTGCTAACACCATCACTGCTGTTACTACGACAACTTAGGCTGTTGCTGCTACTACTACTAGTATACTCATGGTGTTCATAATACTGCTGCTATTTTTTTAAAAGATGACTTCTGTACACCTATTGATCAGTCTCTCGATACAGAGTGGCCAGTTGAAAGCATCAAAGTACAAACCCTGTAGCTCCAGTGATGCTCATTATCCACATAGCATAGCAGAAAAACAAATCTGCTGCATTCAGAACACCAGACAGACTGTTTGACCACTGCAGTCTTCCTGCTTCTATTACTGCAGTGGAAGTCCAGTATTGGTCAATAATTCGTTCACGAGGGTGGATGGATATTAAAAAAGATTAACATCAAGCATATTTTTCCCATACAAACTAATACATTCCACTGTACTACTATTAACACTACTTCTAATACTGCTACTGCTGATGCTACTTTAGAAGTGTTTCTGTTGCAGCTGTTACTAATATTGTTAAGGCTGCTACAGCTGTTATTAATACCACTAATCCTATTTCTAATACTGCTGCTGCTACAGTTTTAATACTGTCTCTGCTACTGTTGTTACTATTACTGTTATTATTGCTTACAATACTGCTGTTGCTGGTAATGACACTATTAAAACTACTTCTCATACTAGTTCTGCTGTTACTTCTAATGCTGTTGCTTTAGTACTGTTTTTGCTGCTGCTGTTACTAATACTGTTAATATTGCTTCTAATACTGCTGCTGCTGTTACTAATACTGTTAATACTGCTTCTACTGCTGTTGCTGCTGCTGCCCTTACTAGTACTGTTCATGCTAATTTAATACTTTAAATGCTGCTGTCAATACTACTGTTAAAACTTCTAATACTGTTTCTAATACTACCACTGCTGCTGCTGTTATTACTATTGCTGCTACTACTGCATGAGCTAAATACACTGTTTTTGCCACTGGCTTTCTTGTATGGATTTCTGTGTAGTTTTGCTTGTGCATGTGTGTTCAGTCAGTAGATTTTATGTTGTTTCTGTATTACATGTCTTTAATGATGTTTAATTTCAGCTGTAAAGGCTTCTTCAAAAGAACAGTCCAGAACAAGAGGGTGTACACATGTGTGGCGGATGGGAACTGTGAGATCAACAAGGCCCAGAGAAACCGGTGCCAGTACTGCCGATTTAAGAAGTGCCTTCGGATGGGAATGGTTTTGGCAGGTAGGCAGTTTTGTTTGTGACGTTTTTGTGAATAAAATCTTTGTATTTATCTTCTTCTTTTTCTTTTCTTTCGCCGGCTTTAAACTCTGGCAGAAAAATTATGGTTGTTTATTCTCTTGTGGATCCACTTCCTGTTCCGGAACTTGAGTTTTGTTTGCACATCCATTTTTCAGAGCTGGCTTATTTATGTGCAGACTGTTGGTTCCTGACCTCTCAGGCAGATGCACCCTAGTGTCAAAGAAAACAACTCATATACTAACTTTTTACATAATGCTTGTCCCCGTCCATCCCTAACAGGACCCCAGAACCCACACCGGAAGGTTTCTCTGTGTGTAAACGAGTGTTTACAGTCGAGCTGATATAAAAAGGTTCTAACTACAACACAAACTGTCACTAAAAAGCACAGCAAATGGATGGAAAGACTCAAACTTATTTTTATGCCCTTCTTTTTCATTCCATGGATTTAGCGGCCAGATGTTCACCTGCTTATCCGACGGTCATAGGTTCAAATCCACATAGAACCATTTTTTTTTACACATGACCTTGGCTGCCAGGTTGAATGGGTACCAGGTAAAGTCCTGGGAAGTAAAGGTGGCCAGCAAAATGTTAACCACATCAAGGGTCAGTTGGTCAATACAAAATATGAGACTAGCTTCTTATGCCCAATGTGCCATAGCATGTAAAGGGATATTTACTTTAACTTTTTCATTCCCACTACTGAGCTAGTGTGTTGTTAGTGCTGTTTGTATGTATTCATGATAAAAGTGTTTTTAAAAATCTATGCACATCACAAGAAATTCAGACTAGTAACAAATAACAGAATATCTAACATTGATGTCAAATCATTGCTGTTATATGGAATACTTTAACGGGTATCCGTACCAAATAACAGAATATCTAACTTTGATGTCAAATCATTGCTGTTTTGTGGAATACATGAACTGGTACCTGTGTTAAAAGGAAGGAATTCATTTCAGGTGAATTCAGAGGTTTGGATATATTTTTGTGTGCGGCAGGGGCAAAAATCAAACCCTAACTTGAACAGCACTAGCCATGTGGCCCTAAATCCTCAGTCTCAAAGACTTCCCTGCCTAAACTGCAAAAGTGGTAAATTTGTACAAGTAGTTGAGCATAGAAAAACCCAAGTGGAGTGTTGGTGTAATCCAAGCAGGTAACACTAGCCATGTTTTTGGAAACCTGCCTCTTGATGACTGGGATTCTAGCATCATACTTTGCACACGTGATGGCCTAAGCCAGGGCTTTGATGAACATTTATTTATTAACAAAGTTATACAATTCATAAGCAAAATAACCTTTTTTTCATCACCAGCTGTCAGAGAAGACAGGATGCCCGGAGGGAGGAACTCTGGGGCAGTTTACAATCTCTACAAGGTAAATATCATTCTGAATTGTTATAAAGTTATGGCTTGATTGAATTTAGCATTCCGTGTCTTTTTGCCTTTAGGTGTCATGTGTGGAGCAGACATGAATGTCATGACCTCTCCTTGATCAAGTTTATATTTTTCCTTGCATGGGTCGTGGGGCCTCATTTGGATAGAGGGGGGCCAGAGAGTAGACTCAGTGCTGCTTTTCCCTACTGAATTAGTCTTTCAGTATGTGCATTCTCTGTCTGTTCTTTTGCTCTGTCCATCTGATCCCAGAAAAACTTGACCATGTCTGCCTTATCATGAAGTTGCTCCTCGTCCAGATTATATGTCTTCAAAAGCTCTTTTTAAGTTTTGTATTTGATTACTTTCCTAGTCTGGACTCCTAAGTCAACAGCCTAAAATAAATACAAGGAAATGCACTGGGAAGTGAAGTTTGAATATGTATCATCATTATCCTGCTGTGCCATTATATGTCACACAGGGCCCGCAGTCTGTTCCTCCATTCAATTCTATCTGATGCAATCAGTTCAATGTCATGGATGGAATCCAGTTCCGCAGCTTTGACCTCCCTCATCCACATCTGTCTCAGGGTTTTCATTTGGCATCCTTCCTTCTTCAGCCACTTTATTTCCCATTTTAGTGACTGTTTATTGATTTTCTGCTTATTTCTTCTCAGAATGTGTCCAGCATATGTCTTCTTCTTTATTTTATAACTGTTGAGACTAGTGCTTGCCCAGACTATTTTCTTATTTCTTCACTGTGTTGAATTCCTCCGAGTTTATGGTCATCGTTTTTCTCAGACATTTGTGTCCACTTGCATTTTTTACCAGAATGACATACTTTCACAGCGTGGGACCGCCAGTGGTGGAAATATGTAGCCTGAAAATGTTCGTCAGAAAATGTTTTGTGAAGTCAATGTTGAATATGTTTTTTTTTTAATTATTATTATTCTGCCTTTATCCATAGATGTAATTGTTTTATGCCCGTTAACAGCATGGCTGCAATATTTATGCCTTTCGGCTAAATTGGACTTCTGCAGGCATTTGGTAACCGGTTTAGCCTTTTTGTTAAATATGTATATAACGTACAATTCCCCCCCCCCCCCCCCCCCCCCCCCCCCCCCCCCCCCCCCCCCCCCCACCCCCCCCCCCCCCCCCCCCCCCCCCCCCTCCCGCGCTTTTTGTATGTGTCCATTTTATTGGAAAAATGGTGTGTTACATCTGCACCTCCTTCATGTGTTGATCTTTTTAGTCACATATGATGTTGGTTTGTTTTCAAGTGTATTGTTTGATTTGCTTCACAGGTGAAGTATAAGAAGCATAAACGTCGTGACGTGACAGAGAAAGGTGTGAAGCACCAACGGCTAGCCTTGCCCACGTGCAAGTTGGAGATGCCAGACCTTATCCCAGGATACCCTGGTGAGCCTTTCCAATCCTCTGACTCCGCCTACGAGTCCAGCACCGACTGTGGCAGCGATGGCATGACCGGTCATTCAGGGGGACTATCCAGATGTGGACAGTCTCAGCACTGTTACCCTCATCTATATAAGTCTGTAGGTTCTATAAACTCACCACAGAACAGTGTGTCCTTAACCGAACAAGGTTTGGCTGGTAAAAACCATCAAGATTATTTAACTGTACCACATAGTGGCCTGATACAGCAAACGAAGGCATCATTTGCATATCAATCACCCACATGTAATACTAATCATCACAGACACCTTGAACAAAGGTCTTTCATGTACAGCGATGGGCTACCCAGTCTGAAAATTCCACCCCTGCAGTCACGAAATCATTCCAGTTTCTCACACAGTGTTGGACAGTTGTCTCCCCATAATTTATTACAGCCAGGTTCCCCCTTCCGTCCGGTCGCTCCATCTTACTCCCAACACTCAGCATCCTCGCCTCAAAAGTCCTCAGGATCACCAAAGTATCATCAACAAATGTCGCCTCTGGAATCAATGAGAAAACCACATCCTCGAGACGCCACCCTACCTCACCACTGCTGCAGCTCCGATCCCTCACAGCTTCATTTCAGTCCTCTAAAAGAAGAAAAAGTTCCACTGTCACTTGCTAAAATGAAAACAGAGAAAAACCAACATGGCCAAGACCGGTCTCAGAAGATGTCGAGTCCACACGTAGACTACAGGAGCAGGGCTGCTGGAGAAGCTGCTGGGTATCATCAGATGTATATGACAAAACCACAAGTCAAGCAGGAGATGCAGGACTGCACGGATGATAATAGTCAACAACAAACAGGTAGAAGTAATACCAGTTACCATCTCATATCACAAGCGGAAAGCTACAACTCCAATGAAACCTCACTTAACACTTTCACATTAGCCCCATCACCAAAGATGTCCTATACGGCTCCTACCGAAAGTTCTCTCCAGCTGAAGAGAGATACTTCAAGGATGTCGCCCACACCACAGAACAACCAGAACCAGTTTTCTTCCAACAGTCAGAATTCCACTCAAACATTTAAACTTCCCACTCCACATCAACAGCATCAGACGGACTTGTCAGAAAGTCAATCCACCCAAGATGATTTGAACACTTTCTGTCACCCCCAGCTGCCGTCCTTGCCATTTTATTCATCGCCTCCCTCTCTGATATCAGACCTGGCCAAGAATGATTCTCTTTTGAGCATCGCTGAAGACTACCAGATTGAGCAGTTCACTGGCACAGAGGAGACAGTCGCTCAGGCACTCTGCCAGGTTGGTGATAGCATTGTGATGAGGTTTGTGCAGTGGATGAAGCAGTTGCCATTTTATAGGTACGGGAATTGTTCTAGTCTTGTTTGTTTCAACATTGTTTGTGTGTATGCTCAGGAATAGTTTATCTACACATTATTTTTCTGTGTTTGGGAATTCTTCTAATAATGTTTATCTACACATTCGTGAATGTTTGGGAGTTCTAGTCATGTTTATCTAAACATTTTTAACGTGTTAAGGAATTGTTCTAATTAAGTTCAACTAAACATATTGGTGTATATACTTAGGATTCTTCTAGTCATGCATGACTAAACACCACCATTCTATAAACTTTATATGTTCAAATTGTTCTAGTACATTCAACTGTTCTGGGGCCCTGTTATCGGGAAAACAAGAATAGACCCACTGCCTACCCAAAAGCATGTTGTAAGAGTTGACTCATTGTGAGCTTCCTTCAGAGTCAGAGTACATCTGCCTGAGAGGCAAGGAACCAACAGTCTGCATACAAATAAGTCAGATCTGTCAAACGGATCCACATGCAACACTCAGGTTCTGGAACAAGGCTGCAATCCAGCAGTGGATGAACAACATGAACATCTGATGAACGCGAAGAAAAGAAGAAGACTTAACTATTATAGATTATAGATGAAGAAAGTGTTCTAGCTGTACTTTACCAAACAAAACTGTTCTGCATCCTTTACCGGTATTTAGATTATTATCAGATTCTAAAGCTATGTAAGCTGCTCTTGCCTTTTACATTCGTATTTGACTTTCTCTATCAGTTCTCCCATCTTTATCTACATTACTGCCCAGATATGTGTACAATCCCACGTCTTGGAGTGGGATACCATTTAGAGAAACCAAATTAATATTAGCCTGATTTATTCTCATTATCTTTCTCCTTCCCCGATGAATTTTCAGACCTAGTTGTTATGTTCAACTTTACTTATATCTCATAACTTTGTTATATATTTCAACAGAGATATACCTAAAGAACTTCAGACCAAAATCCTGATGTCTAAATGGCACGAGCTGCTGCTGCTGATCATGGTTGCCTATGGACCTGTCGTAAAACACCCAAAGAAGTCCGACAAAAAGCCCACATTCTCAGAACTCTACCAGGGCAACATGAAGCGCATGCAGGAGTACCTGGAGAAGAGCTTCCAGAAGTTCTTCACCCTGGAGCAGCTGCAGGAGGAAATTGGCAGCCTCATGGAGAAGGTGACGGCCATCACGGCTTACTTTTGGCAGCAAGGCATCACCAGGAAAGAGCTCTTGTGCCTCAAAGTCATCCTGCTCCTGAATCACGGTGAGTGAAGTTTGTATAGTTGACGTTTGCTTTATGCCATTTTCCCTAGTAAAATTGAAAACACTGAAATATAAGATCCATTATAGTAAACCCAGTATAGCCCCCCCCCCCCCCCCCCCCCGTATGGGTTCTGGGGGTGGGGTCCATTTTAGGGAAACATAAAGGGCCCCCTGCTTTCTAACGAGCATATCATAAAAGGCGGCTAATTAGGGATGTTTTCTTCTAAGTTGGAGTGCATGTGCCTGGGAGATTGCAAACCAACAGTCTGCATACAAATAAACCAGATCAGTAAAATGGATGTGCCCATAAAAAGTTCTAGAGCAAGACTGAAGTTCAAAAGTGGTCTAATAACTAGAACTTTCCACCAGAGTTTATGACCAGTGTGCATAAAGGAGAAATATAGTAAACTCTCTTTTACTTGTTCTCTTTGCTCCTCAAAGCCCACATTTCTGCTGCCTCAAGTTTCTCCATTATGACATTACTGATGGCCAGATATTCTGTGCAGTCTTTCTTTGAACAAAGAAGACAAAAACAATAGACTGCACAATTTATGGCCTGGCATATTTCGCTGTATCTCGTCAGGTGCATACTACAGTAACAAGTGATTAAAATGAAGCAAATAGCTGAATCCTAGAAACTGAAACACAAATTCGAGTACATTCTACACTGTCTGTTTCACCAAGGTAACCTTAAGGAAACTACCATTTCTTTCTGCCTACAGAGATCTGGTTTCAACCGGTTGATCGCAGAAGCTTCCACGTATCGGAGTAATCTACGGTTGGCCGAATTGTAAATAATTTGAAATGCATCATCCCTGTTAATAATGTGCCCGGAATTTAGAATATGGCACGCAATTGCTGATGATGGATTTTGTCGACCAGTCACCTGATTTGTTGTTGTTGAGGTGTTAGTGTTCTGCATTCCTTTTACCACCCATAGTGGAATATGTTCAGCAACCCGTTTCTCCAGTCGTCGATCAGTTCTGCCCACATAAGCAGTTTCTAGGATTCAGCTATTTGCTTCATTTTAATCATTTGTTCCTGTAGTATGCACTTGACGAGATACAGCGAAATATGCCAGGCAATAAATTGTGCAGTCTACTGTTTGTGTCTTCTTTGTTCAAATTCACATCGGGGAAACAGTCTTTCTTTCTCAGTTGGGACAAGGAGGAGACTTTTTAAGAACACATAAATCCTCCCTGATATACGGAAGTGAATCATGGACAGTTGGACGATTAGTAAACAGTTATTTGGAAGTGGCAGTCTTATAGACGAATGATGAGAATACCCTGGACAGATGAAAAGAGTAATGATTCTTAAAAGAAACTGACTCACGAAGAGAACTGATTGCCGACATCAAAAGGACATAATCTACATTCTTTGGCCATCTCATAAGAATGAAAAAAACTGGAGTACATGGCGGTAGGAAAGTTGGATGGAAAAAGAGACAGAGAGAGAAGCTGCTGAACAGTTTGACATCATGGCATGAAATATCATCTGTGTCGGAATGTTTTGATGTTTAGGGTGCCCCAGGTATGCTTTTTTAGAGGTTTGATGGGGTTGCTTGAGATTTTGCTTTGTTGGCCTGCTATCCACATTGAGATTTTGTAACTTCAGGTTGGTAACACTTTTCGGTAGAATCCAGGATGGGAAGAAAGAGAAGGGAATGGGGAAGTTTTATTTTAATAAATATTGTTTGTTTATGTTTACAGAGTGTGTGAAGAAAGAGACGAAACTCCTCCATATAGCAAATGCCTACAAGCAAGCTCTGCAGCAGTACATCCTGGAAAGGTTTCCTTCCGAAGCCAACCGCTTGGGTGATCTTTTGGGACAGTTTCAGAACCTTCAGACAGCTTCAGCACAGCTTCTCAACAGTAAAATGATCTACATACCTTTCCTGCTGAATGCCTAACCCAGCCTGTGATAAAGACAGACCCCAACACACAATGTGTACATTTTGTTTGTCCGTTGTTAATTATTTATAATTAAACTGATAAAGATAACATGTATACTAAGATAGTTATTGAGCAGTTTTGTAAATACAGGGTGTCACATAAGTTTCCATGCATAAAGGTAAAAGTAAAGGGCCCTTTTCCAAGCCTTTAGTCATGTAGGGCATATAGGGCTAGACCTGTATTTTTATAGACCAATCGGCACAAAATGAGTGATGTGGTCAGCCATATGCCGGCTGCCTTTACTTCCTAGGACAGCACCCGGTACCCACTCAAGGCTGGGTCAGCCTGGGAGCCAATGTAATTTTTGAAAAACGTTCGGCTCCACCAGGGAGCAAACCCACAACCGTTCGATCCGGGGTGAGCATCTAGCTGCTCCGCCACGGCAACTCACAGTTTCCATGAATAGGAAAAAATATGCTTATATGTGTTCTTGAGTAATGTAGAAAATGTATTGAAATGTGTTCTCAAAACAATAGTAGTCATATAGAACATATTATATCAGTAAAAACGGTTTTCATAAAAAAATATGTTTCTTTTTCCTATGTAGGGAGGCCTAAGAGGCGGCCTGTAGATATTAGTAGTAACTAAAGAGCTGATTTAAATGCATTGAAATGTGTTGAATATTTGGTATCCCCATGTTTGTTTTTAAATATTTTAACCTAATGCTGGCTCGATGGGTGATGAGTCTTTAAAACGGATGAGCACACAAAATTCATTTCTGGAACAAGACTAAAGTTCAGAAACGGAAACACAAGCAGAACCTTTCACCAGAGTTTACAGCCAGCGAATGCTAAGAAGAAGAAGAAGCATATGACACAAACATACGGTGATATGCTAAGAAGAAGCATATAACACAAACATAGATTGATATGCTAAGAAAAAGAAGCATATAACACAAACATAGATTGATATGCTAAGAAAAAGAAGCATATAACACAAACATAGATTGATATGCTAAGAAAAAGAAGCATATAACACAAACATAGATTGATATGCTAAGAAAAAGAAGCATAGGACACAAACATACAGTGATATGCTAAGAAAAAGAAGCATATAACACAAACATAGATTGATATGCTAAGAAAAAGAAGCATAGGACACAAACATACAGTGATATGCTAAGAAAAAGAAGCATATAACACAAACATAGATTGATATGCTAAGAAAAAGAAGCATAGGACACAAACATACAGTGATATGCTAAGAAAAAGAAGCATATAACACAAACATAGATTGATATGCTAAGAAAAAGAAGCATAGGACACAAACATACAGTGATATGCTAAGAAAAAGAAGCATAGGACACAAACATAGATTGATATGCTAAGAAAAAGAAGCATAGGACACAAACATACAGTGATATGCTAAGAAAAAGAAGCATAGGACACAAACATAGATTGATATGCTAAGAAAAAGAAGCATAGGACACAAACATACAGTGATATGCTAAGAAAAAGAAGCATATAACACAAACATAGATTGATATGCTAAGAAAAAGAAGCATATGACACAAACATGCAGTGATATGCTAAGAAAAAAATGCACGTGACACAAAAATGCAGTTATATGCTAAGAAAAAGAAGCATATGACACACACATACAGTGATATGCTAAGAAAAAGAAGCATATGACACAGACATACAGTGATATGCTAAGAAAAAGAAGCATATGACACAGACATACAGTGATATGCTAAGAAAAAGAAGCATAGGACCCAAACATACATTGATACAGTTACAAGCAAGAGTACACAGAATCACTGTGTGAGTTGAGATCTCTCCCAGAAATGTCTGTAACATGTCTGCACAGTAGAAACTTGTGTGATGCAGAAAGATGATATGGAACAGGAAGAGAGGTTGTGGTGGCGAGTTCAGCAAGGGACATAACTCAAATAGATAAAGCTGTGCTTGATGTTAATGCCCACTACCCTAAACTCAAATGTTCTCAAATTGAAAAGGGATGGCTTTTGTGAAGATAGAGCACTAGCTTCCCTTGTTGTGTAGCCATTTGTTGCCTGCTTGTTGATCTGCTAGATCTCCTGGCCTTAAATCTAGAACACCAATTGGTTTATGTTTCTATGTGCTTATTGCATCTGGTGCCTTGATGATCTTATTGCCTTTCCACATGCTATTTACATGTGGCCTTGGTCTTACTTAACACTTAAGTTGGCTTATGTGACATGCGTGAATTTTACATGCAGTATTTAACTAAAGCTAATCATGTGGCATTAGTTGGGATGTGTAAATGTTTTTTTTTTCTCCTTTAGTTCTTTTCTCCTTTTCTGTTCTGTGCCTAACTGTGGGCTTTGGTAGTCACCAAACAAAGACAGCGGTGGCTGCAGTGTAGCCAGACTTCATGCTGTAGATGGGACATCTTTGTTATTTCAGGGTAGAACATCTGGGCTTTTGAACTTGAATGTAACATAACAATTCTTGGATGTATTATGGACCCATAAGAGAAAACAAAACTTAAGCATCCGTTTAAAAAATCTGGCTTATTTGTATCATTCTGTTGGTTTTATGTCTCTCAGGAAGATTGTTTAGGGGGGGGGGGGGTATTGGTGGGTCTCCCCCTCCTCCCCCCCCCTCCCCCCAGGGGTCCAGGAACCAACACTGGAGAGGGGACTGGCTTATTAACCCTCTGTGAATTTGTCTCTTTTTTTAAAAATGGGGTTTCAAGAGATATAAACAATTGATATGTCTGTGCACATCATGAATATTTATTATACATGTATTTAAAAATCATGTTTGTAATATACTGTAAATATGACTTGTACAGTATTTTCTGTTGATAATAATGTAACTTATTTTGTTATGAACTGACACTGTGCCAGTTGTGTATTATAAACTGTATTGTTTTATTATACAATGAGACACTGTGCCATTACAAGGTTATGTGAGGTCTTGTTTACTCTGTTTCAGAAAGAGGCAGTCTTAAATGTTTGCTGTTTATTATATAAATATGAGAATGGCGTACAGGAAAACTGTGATAAATGTACAAGTAACAAATGTGATATTCATGGAACAAATTCATGTTTTTTTTTCAAAGGGGGATTGGAGTGGGGGGGGGGGGGGGGGGAGAGTCCTTTTCCCTGCCTTTGGTTTTTAGGTGAGGAGGCCACATACCTTTATGAGGTTTGTGGTGGGAAAAAATGTCCTATACTGAACAATGTAATGACATTGGCTGTAATTCAGGGCTGGTACTGACCACAGCTTGTCTATATAAGGTGCCAGTACTCACCACAAAATGTCTACATAAGGTGCCAGTACTCACCACAAAATGTCTACATAAGAGGCCAGTACTCACCACAAAATGTCTACATAAGAGGCCAGTACTCACCACAAAATGTCTACATAAGGGGCCAGTACTCACCACAAAATGTCTACATAAGGGGCCAGTACTCACCACAAAATGTCTACATAAGGGGCCAGTACTCACCACAGCTTGTCTATATAAGGTGCCAGTACTCACCACAAAATGTCTACATAAGGGGTCAGTACTCACCACAAAGTGTCTACATAAGGTGCCAGTATTTACCACAAAGTGTCTACATAAGGTGCCAGTACTCATCACAAAGTGCCTATTACAGTGTCGCTGAAATACTCCTACTGTATTATACTTGGGTCAGCTGAGTTTAGATGAGTTAAAAACTGACAATCATATCACCGGGCATATGCCCATAAGTGATCCATTCCCATCTACAGCAGCCAGCAATTCTGATGGCCTTAGCAATAGTCTGATTATATGTCTTTCTTGTCTGTCCCGTTAGGGTTGAGTGTCGATCAGATCCCTTGCTACTTTAGTCATAACCAGGTTTCTGTATCCCCCCATAGCTAGCAAATAAAGCATAAATAGATCATCATCATCATCATCATCAATCAGCAGCTGCTTTACAGAAAGTTTTCGTCACGACACTTGAAAGTCAACATGTTGGAAGAGAATATTTCAGGTGGCATGGGAAAGTCAAGAAAACCATCAGACTGGCAAACTGCTGTCATTGTCCCGCTATGGAAAAATAAAGGAAGAGGGACTACTAATTACAGAGAAACATCACTTCTCAGTCACACTGGAAAAATGTTTGCTAAGATCATCGAAAGAATGCTAAGACCAATAATAGAGTATCAACTTTCAGAAGCACAGATGGGCTTTCAGTGCAATAGAAGTTGCACAGATGCCATCTGTACATCGAGACAACTATCAGAGAGAGCAATATAACACGATAAGACATGTTTGTTGACATTCATAGACCAGAAAAAAGCCTTCGATAGAGTCGACAGGAATATTTTGTAGGAATGTTTGGGGAAAAAGGGAATCAGCAATTATCTCATTAATATTTGCAAAAGCCTATACACACTTAGTAAATGCTGCATAAGATCGAAGGCAGGATTGTCAAGAACTTTTATAGTGAACTTTGATGTGTGTCAGGGCTGTGTACTATGGCCACTTCCTTTTAACCACATACATGGATACTGTATGTAAAGAAACAAACTTTAATCATGAAGAGGATATTACAGAATTACTATTCACTGATGACCAGGTACTCATAGCAGAAAGTACGGAATGCTTACAGAACCACCTAAATCAAATTAATAAAAAGGGGATGAATATAATATGAGAATAAATACTACGGAGATGGAGATAATGGTGATAAGAAGACAGAAAGACAATTTATAAATTTAAAAAAAAATGCCTTATGACAAACGGAGGAGTTCAAGTATTTGGCAGCAATTTTCACATCCAATGAAAAACTGGACAGAGAAATTTGCTCGAGATGTACCAAAGCTAATCTAGTACTGGGGCAACTATCTCCCTTGCTGAAACACAAGCAGATACCCCAGAGTACTAAAGTGAATCTTATCAAATTATTTTTTTTGGCCAACACTATGCTATCAGTGTCAAACATAGACATTTACATCCTCTAATGAACATAAAACTGTGACAACATAGATGATGCCTT